CCTGATTGCCCCACCCGGCTTGGGGAGTGGTGCCACAAGCCCCCAGAAGCCCTGAGGCTGCTACCTGTGCGGGCCGGGCACGAGCCGGGCCCTTTTTTGTGCTCTGCGTGAGCTGTGGCCAGCAGCCCGGGCACGCGGGGTCGGAGAGAATGGGCGACACGCTAGAATTAGGCGCGGACTCGTAATGGTAGATTTAAAGATTGTTTACTTACACTGAAGATGGTTGCGGTGCAGGCTGGAAAACTTGCTTGAGCTGCAGTTACAAAACAAAACGACACGAACAATCATGTGGAGTTTGCTAGGCTCCACGGAAACAGAGCTCCGGATGCCCTGGACAAGCGCGCCACTGAAATAGAAACTTCGTAGATACGTCTTATAAAAATTATCGCTCGAAGACGGAAAGAGGTGGGCGATGGATCAGGTCGCCAAACTCCTCTGAATCTCACACAGGGTTTCTATTACCCTGCCGTGTACCCAGAGTCCCCACGAGATGGATGTGGAGTCCTCTTCGGCTTGGGCGGGAACCACTCAAGACTCTTATATGGCTAGCAGGCCAATCGTTAACCGCCACGTGGGAATAATTTAGAACTAGCCAATAGCGGGGAACAAATTTGCATGCGGGTGGCGGGGAATCCTTTGCACCGTGCATTTCTCCTGCAGCTTGAGCAATGCACCCTGCAAATAAAGCTACAAATTGGCGGGAAATTCTCCCTTGCACCGGGGTTCTCCTCTGCAGCAGAAAACTCCACCGTGCAACGAAGCTGCAATTTAGAGGGAATAATTCTAGTGCCGAAGCACACACAAAATCATACCTTTGGGTTATGACAGCAGCGTGGGAGTTTTTTTTTGACACTGGGAGATCCTGGTATCATAAAAAATGCCGCTAAAAAAAGCAGCATGGTGCACATGCACAAATATGTACTGCTGCTATTTGCCCCACGAGAAATGGACAGCCCTAAACATGTGCGCTCATTGGACATGCCCTCTATGTTTAAAAAAAGAGTGAAATACAGGTTAATGTACTCAACTGAAGTCAATGTTAATATATTGGACCATCCTTTTTGTTACTTCTTAATACACGGCATTTTCTTTTTAATAATTAAGAAGTACTATTGTTTGGGAAAGTCTTCTCAAGCTTCCAATCTCAGACCTGTTTTTCCTTTTGTTTTGGATTTCCTGATTTAGGTTGGTTGTACTGTAACTAGCTCTAGATTGCAGAGGCTCAACTTCTTAGGATGAGAAGGAGAAAAGCTTTGCTGCTAATTTACAAGTTCTCCTCCTTTTGAAGATAGGCACTTGGGCCCACTCCACAAACCCCAACTGTTAACTAAACCACTAAGGTACCTTGGTTTTACAGGCACCCTGAATTCTGCTTCTGGGCTCAATCGTATTACTTTTTTAGCCAACAAACAAAGGATATTGTGAGATGCCATCTGCTGCAAAGACCTCAAAACGGCATGGAAGCAAATTCCCTTGGCAGGAGCAGAGCCAAAAGAATGGGAGAATCAAAACAGCAGCCAGGGGATGATTCAACATCCTTTGTCCCAGGATTTACCAGGGAGACAGCTCATTTCATAACAATTTCTGTGGCCTTCACATACTCCTGTTCCTCTGAAGAGATCAATGAGTACAGAACTTGTGCAGGTGGAACCTGTCATGCTTAGTATACTCTTCATAGGAGGGAAAAAGTAGGCCTTAAATGTTTTGAAAGATGGTACAAAGTACATAAATTAGCCTCACAAGCCCCCTTCACTGTAGAAAATTTGCTACTGTATGTGCAATAAAACCTGTATAGGCTTTCCAATTTTAAAAGCCAAGTCTTATTTCAATGGCAAATCATTCTCCAGAAAATGGAGAATGAAATAATCAATATGATTGGCAAAATATAAGGCACTGAAGCCATCCTTATTCACTTTGAAAGGCCTGCCCTATTTCAGTTTTTGATCTGAATATGAATATTCTTTACTCAGTGCAATACACTACCCTCATACCTACCTAGGATAGAATTTGCATCTATAATTCAGTGTAATAAACTTCAAAAGACCGCTTCTCTGACTCAGTGATATGATTTGGAAAAACAGTTTAACAAATCATAATGTTTAGGAGAGCTTCCGTATACTTTCAGATTTTTTTTAAAAGGAAATGGTGGCCTATAAAAGTCCCATGCTGACTCCCTCAAAGATGCAGTAGAAAATAGTTTCTAAGTATCATGATTACAATAAGCCTACTGCAGATATTTTATGGTTGCTGCTGACTCAAATCCCGCGCCTGTCCTCACAAGGAGGTGCAATCAGTCCAGGCTATCAGCTATTCTATTAACATTTATTTTACATTAAACAAAATAATCTTGGGACTAGGGATTGGAACAGTTGGAGGAGGAAGTTCCAAACACTAAGGCCAAGATTCATGCTTCCTCCTCACACAGTGCATCTTACATTTTTTCTGTACAATGGCACATGCTCAAGAAGAGGGAGCACCCAGAATATCCCAGAACCTGACGGTGGAAGTGGAACATGGGGGTTTGAAGCCCCCTTGAGAGAGAAAAAAAATTCAAGCTCACTCTCCATTTCAGACTGCGTGAAGGAGGAAACTTCTGCTTGTTTTCAGGTTGCTCTGTGCTTGAAAGGGAAGAGTGATCCCTGATTGGTTCTTTAAAAGAAAGAACAAAAGTGCCTATCTTCATGAGGACATATAAAAAACTAGAACTCTTGGTTCCAAAATGATACCTTTTATTAGACCAACTGGGAAATCACAAGAAAACTGTCCTTTTCTGCAAGCTTTTGGGATCAAAGTCCCTTCGTCAGGCTCTGGGAAAAGTATAGATGGTACAAGATGGTAAAAAGTCCCCATAGGTAGGAAATTCATAAGAGTGTTCAGGGCTGCAGATCCTGAGGGTATAGTGGAGCCTGCTACAGTCCTGACTAAGGCCCCTAAGGAACAGGATATAAAAGCCACCTTCCATGCACTAAATATTTCTTCATGGTTGGCTGTAAATGGGTCACAGCCTGGTGTGCTGGCTGTTTTGGATCCCAGGTTGATCCATCTAATTATCCCCAGGCCCTGTGCAGGAGACAGGGTGTTCTAAGGTTTAGTTTGGTACTCAGGCACCAAAAGTTAAGTCTTGCATCGTTTATTTTCAAGTGCTTCAATCCTTCATTTAATCTGGTCCTAAGGCACTGAAGGACTTTAGGTGCCTCCATGTTTAGGGGGCTGCTTAACAGCATCTAAATCACTGGTTCTCAACCTTTTTTGGACTTGTGGCACCCTTGACACTCAAGGCACCCCTTGAAAAAGGCCAGCTCTTAGCTTCATGTGATTCTTCTGTTGCAAAAAAACTCAGGAAGACCACAACAGGTCAGAATGTTTTCAACACTGAAGATGCTTATTTGAAATCCTTGGCCACGTCTGCACCAGCGTGGACGTTTGGTTCCCCAGGAACAGTTAGCAGCAGGACACCTTGTGCCACTGCTACTTGTCCCTGGAGAATGCCTGTGCCATGCGCCCTCTGGTGCGCAGCAAGTTACCCTGGGTGGGGTTGGGAAGGTTGGGGCTAGCACACAGATGGCCCTAGCAGCCTTACTTGGGGTCCTGGGTGGCTCCTGGGGCTGTAGCAATGGTGATCCTGCCATGCAGAGCCTGGCCGGCAGCTGGAGCATGACTCCAGCTGGCCAGGCTCTGGTATTGAGTGGCGTGTGCTGTCCCATGTGTGCTGCTCCACTTTTTTTTGGCATGTTTTTTTTGACCCCTGGATATCCAGGGGTCAACCTCCCCCCCCCCCCCCCCCCACCTCAGACTGCTCCCTTGCAGCATGGAGAATGGCTGAATGTGTGGTATGTGGCATTGCAGATGTGTCTGCAGCGCCACATACCGCATGGCCATGCTCTTCTGGACATGGCCCTTGGGTTTGTCTCATGAATCATGTTTGCACAGCTAACAGCCCTAACATTCTGTGCCATCTTACATCACCCTTGAAAGGATCTCAAGGCACCCCACAACTGAGAATCATTGGCCTAAATGTTAAATTTAGCCATGTGTGACTGATGCTAGAACTGATCATATAGAATTTTTTTTGGCAGATGTGCCACAAATTAGTCTTGTATCCTCACCAAGTGTCACCTCAATCCCTTTCCTTTACCTGATCAGCTGCTCTGCTTTCAGTTTCCTAATCTGTGATCCCTGCCCAAACTGCTGCTTTGCTTTCTCCTTCCTGCCCTGCACTCCCTGCCTGATCTGATCCTCTACTTTCTGCTCCTAGCCCTATCTGCCACTGTGCTACCTATCCCCTCCCAATCTACTGTGGGTCACATACACCCAGGCTGCCCATGCCTCGTGTGGCACCCATGCTGCAGGTTGGCCACCCCTGGTGTAAAACATCCCGATTGGCTGCTGTCAACTGAGATAGGAAGAGACACAGTTTTTCTCTATTATGGCAGCATTAAGTCTACACAAAAAATATTTTAATCTTTTCTTCAGCTGGAGCAGAACTGCTCTAGGAATTACATGCCAGTGCAGCCCTCCCTGTTATTGTCACTTTTCTCAGTTCCTCTCCACAATTCTGCAGAGTGAAAAGCATTATTTCAAATTTTGATGTTCTTTTCCTAATATTTTATGGAAAAGTTGCTATCAAAACTGCAGGGAGATGTAAACCTTTACATCAATATCTATTTCTTAACTTAGTAAGGGAAATGATCTCCATTCTCCAGCCAGAAGATTTCTGGTGTTCCTAAAATGGCATCTTATTGCCTTCCATATAATCCTGTGCTTTGAAAGAAAGAAAAGGGCAATGACCAGACTAAACCAACCAACAGAAAAAAAAAAAGAAAAGAAAAGAAAAGAAAAGAATTCTGTTACAGTTAATTGGAAGGAGAAGTAAGAGAAGATATGAAGGCAGTGAAAATAGTGCAGAAAGTTGCAGTCTGACAGACAACTTTAGGCTTGTTTTGCTTTGCCATGAAGCAAGTTTAATTTATGTTGATGATGCTAATCTGAATTATTTACATTTATCCTTGACTGATCTAGGAAGTCCCTAAGTATAGAACTGAAATGGTGTGGGCACCACTGCCTGAATATATTTGGGAAATCCAATGACAGGCTTTTAATGCACTGTAATATTTTTGGCCATTTTCAATGGAATTATTTTTTAAAACTTCAATGCCGGCCTGAGGAAAAGTCTGAGAAAGGGGCTTATTTAACTACACAAGATCCAGGGAAGTACGTAGTGTCTAGCATGTGTAGTATAATAGTACATACTTT